GACTCAAGTGATCCTCTTGCCTCAGCCTCCCAAAGTGTTGCGATTACAGGCATGAGCCACTGCACCTGGCCAAATATTCAGTTTAATAATTATAAAGCAGATACACATGTAATATCATTACGAATGGTCGCTGTTAGTATTCCAGAAGCCCCCAGTGTGCCCCTTTCCAATCACAACCATCTCTCTAACCCTTACAGGTAATCAATATCCTGACCTTTGTAATAATTTTTTTGCTTGTAAACTGTAGTTCTGGCTGGGCAGAGCGGCTCACACTTGTAATCCCAGCAGTTTGTGAGGCTGAGGCAGGAGGATTGCTTGAGCCCAGGAGTTCGAGACCAGTCTAAGCAACACAGCAGGACCTCCTCTTTACAAAGATTTAAAAGTTAGCTGGGCATGTTAGCCTGCACCTTGAAGTCTCAGCTACTGGCGAGGCTGAGATGCAAGAATCGCTTGAGCATGGGAGGTCCAGGCTGCAGTGATCCGTGCTTGCACCACTCCAGACCCTGTCTCAAAAATAAATAAAATAAAATGTAGTTTTACCTATTGTATGTCAGTCATAAACAACATACTTTAGTCTTGCCTCCTGGAACATTGTATAAATGAAATCATATTATGCATATTATTTTCTGTATCACTTCTTTCACTCAATAATCTGTTTTTACATTTAAGATGTTGTATGTTGCTGAGGTTGGTGCATTTCAAGGCCTGTGTTGTGCTTCCAATAAGGAGGTCACGATCTACATTTGGCTACTGATAGTGGCTAATTTGACAGAGGAACTGAATCTTCAATTTCATTCATTTTAATTACTTTTAAATTTAAAAGCTGATACTCAATGCAGTTATTAGAAAATGTACGTTTGTGGCCGGGCACGGTGGCTCACGCCTGTAATCCCAGCACTTTGGGAGGCCCAGGTGGGTGGACCAGCCTGGTCAACATGGTGAAACTCTATTAAAAATACACAAATTAGCCTGGCATGGTGGCAGGCACCTGTAATCCCAGCTACTTGGGAGGCTGAGGCAGGAGAATCGCTTAAACCTGAGAGGTGGAGGATGCAGTGAGCTGACATTGCACCACTGCACTCCAGCCTGGGCAACAAGAGGGAAACTCCGTCTCAAAAAAAAAAAAAAAAGTATATTTGCAACAACTTGGGTATGTGATGGCTGCTTTTTCAACTGCAACTTTTATGAAATCTAAACATAGATTAAGTTTTTTTTTGTTTGTTTTTGAGACAAAGTCTGGCTCTGTTGCCCAGGCTGGAGAGCAGCAGCATGACCACAGTGCACTGTAGTCTCAACCTCCCAGGCTCAAGTGATCCTCCCACCTAAGCCTCCTGATTAGCTGGGACTATAAGCACACACCTTCGTGTCCAGCCAATATTTTTAATTTTTTGTAAAGATGAGGTCTCACTGTGTTGCCAGGCTGGTCTTGAACTCCTGGGCTCAAGCAATCCTCCTGCCTAGGGCTCCCAAAATGCTGGGATCACAGGGAAGAGTTACCTCCGGCCACATTAAGTATTATTATTATTTATTTTACTATTCTCCCTAGACTGCTCAGCAGAACAGATTAAGTATTTTTGATAAAAATTTAGCAACCACATTTAGACTTCAAAGAGTTAGTATGGAAAAAAGAATGTAAACTCCCCAATTAATTTTTATACTAATTACATGCAGAAATGATACCACTTTGGATACATTGAAGACTTAGTATGAAAATAGAATATCTCATTAATAACACATATAATAATTACATGTTGAAATGATAATATATTGGATATATGGGTGAAATAAAATATATTAACATGTTTCACCTGTTTCTTTTTTAGTTTTATTTTTTAAGTGACTACCAGAGAAGTTAAGATTATGTATGCGGCTTGCATTGTGTTTCTAATGAGTACTGCTGCTTTAAAGTATTCCATTGTACAATGATTCTGCAATGTATTAATTCACCTACTGTGGATGGATACTGAGATTTTTCTAGTTTTTAATTATTACAAACAAACAATGCTGCTTTGAACATTCTTATACTTGTATCCTGACAACACTTTTGCTTGAGTTTCTCTAGGATATAAGGGTACAAAATTGTTTTCTAAGAAGTTGTGCTATTTCAAGTTGGCCGACTGAGAACATGCCATGTCTCTACCCATCTGATCTCTACCAAATCCCTAAAAATTGTGGAACAGAAATCATTTAAAAACCCACAACCGTAGCTCAAAATGTGGAAGCAGCTCTACAAAAATTCTCCCCTGTCAGAAATGCCCTGGAATTACCTACAAGTTCTTGGTTGGGACAGGGCATTAGGAGAAGCCAGAGGCACATCAATCCAATATCCTTCTTCCTTGGGCCAGGCAGCAAAAGGTGTCCTCCTCCAGGCAGGAGCAATTGGTGTTAGAAAGGAGGCAGGGTCCTGAAATCCTGGATGAAGGGTGTACACTCCCTTACTAGCCATCTCACACAACTTCCTTATTCTCAGAAGACTCCACCCGGAACACAAGCCCCAGAATCCCACCCCTCCTCTAGAGCTGGAAAACAGAACGGTCCGGTTCTAGCTTTTTTTTTTTTTTTTCTTATCAATAAGATATCAGACTCAGGATAGGGTAAAACTCTTTTAAAGTGGTCTTTTTAGATTACTATGATTGTCATGCGTTTTATTTTAAATGGAGAACTCATGTATGACCTGTCTACATAAGTTGAACTAATGATGTGACACACAAACTGTTCTGAAAAATGCCAGTTACTTTGAATGTAAGCATTTTTCCCAAAATCATTTGTCTAAACTAATTCCTTTAATAAATCAATAAGAAAATGATGAAACAATTCAACAGGAACATGAACAAAGGAAATAAAACTCAGAGAAGAAACATAAATGTTCAATAAATATATAAAGATATTTAATTAAATTCATGAGTAATCAGAAAAATGGATATATAGATGGCATCCCTTTTATTCACCCATAACATCAACAACAAGTTGGAGAATACCCAGCGGTAAAAAGGTGTGGGGAAATGAATGCTGTTATATTCTGTTGAGGACAGAGTAAGTTGGCACAACATTTTTAAGGGCAATTAAAATTTCATATCTACATAGTCTGCAGTGCAACAATTCCATTTCTAGAGATCCATTCTTTTTTCTCTTTTAGATGGAGTCTCGCTCTGTTGCCAGGCTGGAGTGCAGTGGTGCAATCTCGTTCACTGCAACCTCTGCCTCCTGGGTTCAAGGGATCCTCCTGCCTCAGCCTCCCGAGTAGCTGGGACGATAGGTGTGCACCACCATGCCCGGCTAATTTTTTTGTATTTTTAGTAGAGATGGGGTTTCACCATGTTGGCCAGGATGGTCCCAATCTCTTGACCTCGTGATCTGCCCGCCTTGGCCTCCCAAAGTGCTGGGATTAAAAAAGAAAAGAAGAAGAAGAAGAAAAAGAATATAACCATGTATTACTTGTATAATAAAAAATAAATTTAAATTGCCTCTTATTTTAAAGACAGTGTACCAAATTTAATTTAAAAATAACCATAGGATTGCAATCAACAGAGGTTGATTTGGGGTATGGAGGGGAAATATCTTTTCTCAGAGGTACCAATCTCAAAATTCTGGACCAAAAAGGACCTTACAATGCAGATAGTTTTTTGTCATATTTCGAGAGAATATACTCGCAGTTTCTCAGTCCAACTGTATGTTTCCACACATTTGCATCAATGTAAGAAATATAGTTTCCTTGCAAATGTCTGCGAAGAAACACAATTTATATCCTTAAATAGGTAGGAAAAGAAAAAAACAGGATAAGTAAAAGAATCATGGCAACCTTGTGGGAAATATTTAGATATAGAAAATAACACCTGCTTTCTAATTTCCAGCAGTATAAGTTTCCCAGTTTGCACAATTTTTTTAAAGAAGCAATGTAAACGTTTTAATACACACAATCCCACAGCATTTATTGCCATCTTGTAATAACATAAAGGTAATCAAAACAATATGAATAAATGTTCATATTGGACGAAGGACATCTAAAAACAAACTGTATCCTTCTCCACAATTTCTCACTTCATTGATCATTTTCAGTTGGAGACACTTTATAGCAGAGTAATATTATCTCCTTTTAGCATGATCCGACCCAGTTGTTTTCTTGACTTTGTTTTAGAATGAATCTCTTCTGCATCATCTAATACAAGGTTCATATACTCATTAAAACCAATGATACAGCCTTCTATCCACATATTCACTTGCTCATAGAGCCACGCCTGAATCCACAATCTATTTTGTAAGTATCTGAAGATGAGGTTGATGGGCTGCACTACAACCTTCTGCATTTTCTGGCCCTGGTCACGGTATGCCATGTTGGAATTTCAAAGAGCA